CAAGGGAGTGAGTATAAAGAAAAGATGAATACCACCTCACTTCTGGGCCACTCCAAAATTAAGAAGTAGGGCAGAAAAAGGGAAACCACCAAAAGAGAATGAGAAAACATGGATAGTAAGATAGGAAGAGAACCGAGAAGCTGTTGCCATGAAAGGATAGTGAATAATGTTTAAATGCTGAAGATAGGTCAAGTAAGATAAGGACTGAAAATAAATATTGCTTTTAGCAATGTAAAAGACACTGGTGATTTTGACAAAAGCAGCTGGCTTTGAGTGGCTGAGGCAAAAGTATGATTGAAGTGGATTTAAGAAAACGGGAAGGTGAGAACAGACGAAGGTGAGAACTTGAGATCTAAGAAGTGGGAGTTGAGCAATAAGAACACATGGACACAGGGAAGGGAACTTCACATACCGGGACCTGTCAAGGGTGGGGGCCTAGGGAAGGGATAGCATTAGGAGAAATGCCTAATGTAGATGATGGGTTGTTGGGTGCAGCAAACCACCATGGATCATGTATGCCTATGTAACAAACCTGCACGTTCTGCACGTGTATCCCAGAATTTAAAATACAAAAAAAAAAGTGGGCTCTGTAGATGAACAATAAATAATTCCTGGAAAACATGATTTCTTTCTTCTATCCTATAATTTATTTAAATGATATATAATTTGATAAGCTTTACCATTATCTTTTTTAAATTGTTGAATCTGCTTGAAAGGTTTCATATTAGAGACTATGAAATTGTTAAATTGTTTGCCACCGGTTAGCAAGAACAAAGTTATTCTGTAGTCTCAGTCCTCCATTACAAGGTGCTCAGAAATTATCAGTATTTCCTTTTTTTAATATTGAAAATGGTTTGTCTTTTTCAGTGTTTGCCTTCCAAAGTAACAGAATAGTGTGCTTTTTATACTTCACTATGTTTTGGCTTTAGTTTTACTTCGGTCTCATTACTGAAAATGAGACCCATGCCCAGACTCTTTTCAAACAAAACCCTAGCATTTAAATATAATGTTTAACTCATGACCATAGACTCTGTAGATATAAATAAGGTTACCTTATGAAAGTAAATGATTTTTAAAATACCACCTTGTTTCAATTGAGCTGTTTTTAAAATATTTCTCATTTCATCCACCACGGATTTCAGGGGAACAGAATAATTCAGATTTTTGAGAACCCTTATTTATATTATATGGAAGAAAAGATAATTGGATCAGAGTTTTGATGCATGGACCCACTAAAGAGCAAAATATATCATTATTATTATTATTATTATTATTATTATTATTGTTTAAATTCAACATTTTAACTCTTACTTAACAGAAGTATTTATAACAATATTTTTTCCTGCTACTAATTTGTCTGATCTATCTTGCTTTTCAATATTCATTTGCATTCTATAAATTTGAGAAACATTTGAGGAATCTTCCTGTGTAGACTCTTAAAAATCGGGAGACTTGAGTCTAGCTAGGCCCATGCTCTGTATGTTACTTACAACCTATGTGGCCTTGAATATAAAACTAACCTTTCTTTTTTTCATCAGTTCAAAAATATACATTTTCACATCTGGACAGATAAATGACATAAAGAAAGTGGGCTTTGGAGACAGATATCTGGTTAGCAAATTGAAACACCTCAAATAAAATATACAGTAGCAATCCAAAAATATTAATTATTATTAACACTAAACTAATATTAGAGTAAAAATAGGCAGAACCTTTATATGTTATTTCTGTAGATATGAGGAAGTTAAGAATTAGATTATTTTCATAGATCTAATTTGAATTTTATTTCTCTTTTCATTGAATCACTTTGTTTTCATCATGCAAATAATACATATTTTTACTGGCTTCACAGTTGGCAGTAAAAACTAACGACATATGATCTGAATGTAAAATGTAAGCTTATTTAATTATTATACAATTTTGCTTTTTTCATCCTCCTCACCACCTATATATTGCATGTGTTTGTGTGTGTTCATTGGGGAAAGAGGAAAAATGATAGAATTTATGACTTTTCAAAGCATTATTTTGTCCTGGATATGACATGCTGGTTATTAAAATAATTAGATCTAAAAGAAAGATAGAGAGATAAAAGAAGAGAGAAAAAAATCTGTTCACAGTGCCTTGCATGTATGAACTGCTCTGAGCCTGTAAGAGTGAAGCAGAGGATTCCTGCTTAAATCATGTCAGGGTCATTGGGTTGGATGCCCATATGGACCAATTAGTTTTAAACAGTGAAAAAACAATGTTTTCCAGGCATAGACTGTACCTCTTGCCCTGGTCAGCTGTCTCCAGAAAGTCTGATGTATGCCACAGAGGGAACTCCTAAAAGAACATCCATGGCTCAGCACAAATTAATCACAACTGCTGGATGCAGAAAGACCTCATCCATACTGATGGTGTTAGCAGCATGCATGCTTATGTGCGATGGATACATAATTCCAGACAGGGCCAAACGTTATTCCAGTTCTGTTCTTAATGCAGAGCAGGATCTCAAAGCATTTTGTGCCATGGACTAATTGGACATTTTGCTGCCAAATGAAAAGTTAAATGCATAAGAAAAACTGTGTAATATTACTAAGAAAATGTAGCATATTATTTAATTAGAGATATCAATATATTAAAAATCAAATATAAGGTTTTTTAATCAATGCATTATGTGACATTACCTCCCTATGGGTTTATTAATTACCATAATTTCACATTAGTAATTGGCATAATTAATATTTCAACAAATCTTCAATATAAATAATATGAAGGAAAATATATTGTGATATTTCTTGGTGAAAAGTCAGCAATCCCTGACAATATCACTGTAGTTTGTTACCTACCTTTTTAACAGATGAAAATGTTAAATTATTATTGGAAGGAAGTGAAAAATTGTCTTCTGAAGGCCGAATTTCTTTCCTCACGTTTTAACAGAGATCTCTAGCTGAGCTACTTATAAAGTACTGTTGCTATCTGTCTAGAAAAGCACACTAGAGTTTAATATCAAATATTTTATTTTTATTTTAATTGAATTCAAAATACAACTGTTCTTACAATGGGGAAAACATAGCAACAAAAATTAAAGACAGTTTGAATTCATTTTAATAAATGTATATGCTATTAAATTATATCCATGTTTTCTCATAAAAGTTGGAGGAGATTTTCTAGAAGTCAATTGTGATGAAATCTTCCTTTAAATTAAACCTTCCAATACACATATAATACAATATATATATTTTTAAAAACAGAAAGTCTATGGATAGCATTTTCCTATTCACAGCATACCATGCAGAGATTTTCTAAGAAAATGTATCAGAAACATGGCCAGGTGCGGTGGCTCAAGCTTGTAATCCCAGCACTTTGGGAGGCCGAGACGGGCGGATCACGAGGTCAGGAGATCGAGACCATACTGGCTAACCCTGTGAAACCCCGTCTCTACTAAAAAAAATACAAAAAAACTAGCCAGGCGAGGTGGCGGGCGCCTGTAGTCCCAGCTACTCGGGAGGCTGAGGCAGCAGAATGGCGTGAACCCGGGAGGCGGAGCTTGCAGTGAGCTGAGATCCAGCGACTGTACTCCAACCTGGGCGACAGAGCGAGACTCCGTCTCAAAAAAAAAAGTATCAGAAACAGAAATTTTTATCAATTTCTTAAACTTAATGGGAGAAAAAAAGAAAATTTATACATAAGAATATTAATTTTACTTGAAAAACATTTCTAGTTAAATAATACTGAAATTCCACAGTTTCTATAATATTACAATTAAATTTATTATTTCCGTTCCTTTAGGACGCTTTTGGAGACATTCAGCGGGCAATAAATATAACTTCAATCTATTAATTTTATATAGAATTATGAATTATTTGGGAATTGTCTATGTTTCTTTAGGCTGCAATAACAAAGCATCATAAGCTGGATGGCTTATAAACAAGGAACATTTATTTTTCACAGTCCTGGAGGCTGGAAATTCCAAGAGTAAGACACTTGTAAATTTGGTTTCTGGTGAGGGCCCACTTCTTCATAGAGGGTGCTACCTCCTTACTGTGTTCTCATGTGGTGTGAGGCAGCAAAAAGGAGCTCTCTAGACCCTTTTGTATAAGGGCATTAACCCCATTAATGAAGGCTCTGCCCTCACCACCTTACCACCTTCCAAATGCCACACCTCTTAATATCATCACCTTTGGGGTTAAAATTTAAACTGATGAATTTTGGGGGTACAGCAGCATTCAGACCATAGCAGAAATTTAAACATTAGTGTAAAATGAGAAGACACAGAAGAGACAAAGTCTATACGTATAGTTCTTTCTTTGTGTTACTTTTTTTTTCTGTCTTTTATTTAAATATTTTATCAACAGTACACTCAAGTATCTCCATTTGTAATTTTCTGACTAAATGTATTTAAACACAATTACCTCTCCTACTGTATTCAATAAAAATTACAATAATTTGGCCGGGCGCAGTGACTCACGCCTGTCATCCCAGTACTTTGTGAGACCGAGGCGGGGGGACCACGAGGTCAGGAGATGGAGACCATCCTGGCTAACACGGTGAAACCCCGTCTCTACTAAAAATACAAAATATTAACTGGACGTAGTGATGGGCACCTGTAGTCCCAGCTACTCGGGAGGCTGAGACAGGAGAATGGGGTGAACCTGGGAGGCGGAGCTTGCAGTGAGCCTAGAACGCACCACTGCATTCCAGCCTGGGTGACACAGCAAGACTCCGTCTCAAAAAAAAAAAAAAAAAAAAAAAAAAAAAAAAAAAAAAAAAAAAAAAAAAAAAATTTATTACAGTGATTTTTTAAAATATACACTGGGTTTTAAAACAGAAGGCTGAAGCAATTAAGCCTCTCTGGATTTTCATTTCCTCATTTATATTTTCTAATGGCCCTTTAAAGTATTTTTTCCTCATGTAATGATATTAGTTAAAAAGAGAACCCTATATATTGCATGAAAAGTGAAACTCCAAAAAGATAGCATAACATACACTTTTGAAATCTCTTTTCTTTTTAATTTTAGGCTGAACAAGACAATGGTCATCCTCTTCCTGCCTTTGCCAGTCTACACATTGAAATACTGGATGAAAACAATCAAAGCCCATATTTTACAATGCCCAGTTACCAAGGCTATATCCTGGAATCTGCCCCAGTGGGAGCAACCATTGCGGACAGTCTCAATTTGACCTCACCTTTAAGAATAGTAGCTCTGGACAAGGACATAGAAGACGTAAGTTAAATACATATTTTGCTCTTGTTTGTGTAACAAATCTCATGTTATATTTCCATTAATGGGAAATATGACAAAGATACGGCTACTTAAACTAGAGAAGAGAGAATAAAGTCACTATAAGTGAGTTTTAGTATTATAATTTAATTCCAAAACAAGGATATTTTTAAAAAGTATCTTTGAATTCAATAACTATTCCTTTTCAGCTTGCAGATATTCAGTATACGTAAGAAAATGAATGTTTTACTTGATGTTTATTAAACGACAAGGGCAATATTTTTATTAACATATGTTGAGAACTGTTTCATGTAATTGCTGATAAAGCAAAAATAATGGTGCTACTACATGAGTAAAAAATCATGAAAGCACCCCTAGATTATGATTCTGAGAGTCTTTTCTTCAAGTCTGAGAGCATCGTTATGAAATAAAATATATTTGAGGCAGCTGACCCAATCAATAATTCTGCCAGTGACTCTGTGGATGCTAACACTTCACACATCATTGTCGTTTGTTTTTCTGGCACTCACACTATCTACATGAGTGGGAAATAGTCCAGGCTGAACAAATCAAAACACTTTACCTCCTTAACCAGAGTCAATGTTATAAAGGGACAGAAAATCTATACCAGGCTAGCCAGAATCCTCCCGGGAATTTACAATGGAGAACAGAAGGGCTGAAAGACTTTGGCATCATGTATTAGAGAAGTGGAAATGAATCTGAAGCCTTTGTAGCCACATTTGCTGACATCATGAGAAAGCCAGTTATCAGCGGGAGAGAATGAAGCCTGAGAGATACATACAGAAAAGAGAATCCCATTGAGTCCCCGTCTTTTAAGTTGTAAGTTCCCCAGAGGTATTCTAATTCCCAAAGATTTTCCTTTGAGTTTGTGAACTACCACAGTATCCTCACTGCAAAAATATGTATACATATGTTTTGTGTATATATATAGAGAGATATATAGATATATACACAGGTATACATACACAGATATAGATAGATATAGATATAGATATAGATATAAATATATACACAGGTATATATACATACACATACATATATATTCTTACTTGCTTTATATGTATATATATTATATATATATATATAAACAGCAAGTAAGAAATTCAACTATGTTTGGATTATAAACATACCTATTTGTAAAAGATAGTTGGATTTCTTACTTGCTGTTATATAAGTCTTGACTCAGCCATTTCTCCGTTAACAGTGCTTGCTCTTAGATATAACTTTTTGTGATGATGGAATTACTGTGTAACTATACTGCCCAATATAGTAGCCATCAGCCTTATATAGGTATTGAGTACTTAAAATTTAACTGGACTCAAAACATAACTTTAAAATTTTGCTTAATATTAATGAAATTAAATATAAATACTCACATGTCACTCATAAGGCAGCAGTGCTCTAGAATGTTCCCTAATATCTCATTACACATAGCTTTATAATCATTTTAGGAAATTAAGAAGGTACTTTCAGATTTTTTTTTCTCTTTCTAAATAAATTTTGTAACACTACGCAGAGGATATGACAATTCTTGTGGGCACTCCACCTCTTTCCACCATATGCTTTATTTTATTCTTTTATTTCTCTTTGCTTTGTTTTCTTCTTCCATTCCAGCTTTTTTTTTTTTTTTAATCTTTCCTGGTCTCTCACACTTAGTGTCTTCTTAAACATTTAGTGTCTTCTTTTAACAATATCTAACTGTCATTGAATTCTCAGTACATGTCAAACAATACAGTAAATACTTTTTTCTTGCATTAATTCCCTTAAATCTCACAACAAACATAGTAGATGCAATTATCCATATCTCAGAAAGGGACATTAAAGCTAGTTTAAATGCCTTACCATGATCAGAGAGTTAGTAAATAGTAGAGATGGACTTTAAACCAAGGTTTATGGAAAACAAAGTTCTCAATTTTAAGCACTCTATATTTTATATACTTTGATCATAGTCTGATTATAATGATAGCTGAAGAATGCTGTAGGTTCTTTTCCTAGAAAAGTGAACACATTAATCCATACACAGTTTCATATGCCAATCAAGAGAATGTAGGGATTCTCTGACGTATAGTGAGTTTCATGAGTCACAGGAAAAAAGTCTTTACTGAATCCCCACTAGAAAATAAGTAAAGTCACCTTAATAACATTAATCCAGGCTGAGCAAATATATTTTGTAGATCTAATAATGTCCCACAAAATTTAGTGCAGATTTTGCTTTTCAGTTGAATACATACTCATATTTGAAGTAGTGACTAATCAACTTGAAAGTGTACGACAGCTTAGGTCATACCTTAATAGATAAGTGGTTAGAAAATATTAATTTATCTTAATAGATAGGTGGTTAGAATAATGTAAATCTTAAAGTTATGTAGTTTTAAGTTTACATGATAGCAAAATTTATGTATTTATACTTTCTTGTGTGTTCATATTATCTAATGGTTACACACTAGCCATATGTTTGCCTGTGTGTCCCCATACTTGTCTGGATTGTCTGTTCACTTCTAAATTACAAATGTTAAAATTGTGTTCCAAGTAACTTTGTAAAACACAGTAGTACTCACAGGGCATTGATGAAATAAAGTGGAGAGAGCTCAGGGTTCTAAAACCTTTGAGGAACGCTACTTATAATTCAACTCTTGGAGATTTACCGTGCCAGTTAGTCTGTGACATGATCTGAGGTGTTTTTAAGGTATGTCTTCTTGGGGGCTTGGGCTTTGGATTTAGACAGATCTTTGCTTGACTCCTGGTTCCATCATTTAATAGCTGTATAACATTGTGAGTTTCATACTCATCAGGTACCCCCTGTTGTCCAGTCATCTATATGGTAGCAATCATTGCTGCCTTGGCGTGTGTCTTTTGTTGGGACTGGCAGGAAAGGGATGGAGAGAAAATTTCCCTGAGATGATACTATGTACATGGAGAGTGACATGCTTCATAACTTTTGTAAAAGTGTCAAGAAATTAATCGGTATAGCTGATCATTTGTTTATTACTTAGACTCACCCTCTTTCTGAAATAATCTATGGTGAGTGACTGTCATCAGGTGTTCAGAGAGTGAACAATTATGCCTAGTCCCCTAGTAATAAAAGTTTTAAAAATATCATATGTAGTTTCTGTATATAAAATATAAACAAGCTCATAGAGTATTAGAAATAGTTTAAACTTCCAATACTATATGAAATCTTCTCCTAAAACCCATTTCCCAGAAATTGCTACATGTTTTATTATGGTATGCAACCTAGAAACCTAGAAGTCTTGCTTGATTTTTATGTTTTCTTTATTCACCACAACTAAGAAATCTTCTAGATCTTCCTATTTTGTCCCCAAATTATTTATTTAATCTCTTTTCCTCTCTCTATCCTTATAAGCATCACCTTATTGGTATGTTATTAGAATTACTTCCTGATGTTCTTGTTCTCTTGATTTCATACTCAAATCTATCTTCTGCAGGGCCATTAGAGTGATTTATTCAAAAACTCAAATCTAACATGTAACTATATCCTTCCTTCCTCCCTCCCTCTCTTCTTTCTTTCTCTCTTTCTTTTCTTCGTTTTTCTTTTCTTTTTTCTTTTCTTTTCTTTTCTTTCTTTCTTTCTTTCTTTGTCTCTTTCTTTTTCTCTCTTTCTCCTTCCTTCCTTCCTTCTTTCCTTCCTTTCTTTCTTTCTTTTTCTTTCCTCCCTCCCTCCCTTCTTTCCTTCCTTCCTTCCCTCCCTCCTTCCTTCCTTCTTCTTTGTTTTCTTTTCCTTTCTTTTCTTTCTTTTGACAGAGTCTCTCTCTGTCACCCAGGCTGGAGTGCAGCATCACGATCCAGGCTCACTGCAACCTCTACCTCCCTGGTTCAGTGATTCTCCCACTTCAGCCTCCAGAGTAGCTGGGATTACAGGCTTGTACCACCATGCCCAGCTAATTTTTTTGTTTGTTTGTTTGCATTTTTACTAGAGACAGGGTTTCACCATGTTGGCCAGGTTGGTCTGGAACTCCTGATCTCAAGTTATCCACCCACCTTGCTGGGATTTACGGGCATGAACCATGGCATCTGGCCCACATTTCTATCTGATATAGTTTTATGACACTTATTCCTCTAGAGAAGAAATTTAAGCTCTGGCAGTTTTCTGTATCTTGATACCTGAGCCTGTTTGCAGCCTGAATCTTGGAAACTTCCTAATTCACCTATAATATTTGGCAACTGCTTGTAGTTTCTTGCATGTGCCAAGCAACATCTTATCTAATTATGTTTGCTCACTACGTGTTCTAGGCTTTGAAATCTTTCATCTGTTGCACAGACTGGCTTGGATAACATACTCAGTGTTTAGAGCTCACCTCAGGCATTCCTTCATTCAAGAATCTTTCCACAGTATTCATTATCCAATTTTAGTTGCATGCCCCCCTCAGTGCATTTCTCTAATTCTATACTTCCAACTTGAAAATAATATCTTTCTCCCTCATGAGTTTACATCTGTTCAGAATAGGTCCTATATCTTAGCAACTTTTGTATCCTGAAAAACTAACACAGTTTCCAGCACTTAATAGGGTTTAGAAACTCTTAAATAAACTCATAAATCCAGTCATTATTGAATTAATGAGGATATCTAATATATGCTTCAAAAATCCTAATGATGTTGCATTAAATATTTCACATGGTGGCCCATCCCATGTCTGAACAATTCTAATTCTTAGAAAACTGTTCCTCATACTGAGTTGAAACCAGTTTTCTTGTGATTCATCCATTATTCATTAAAACTTCCATTTGCTCGCACACAAAATAAATCTGTGAAATAGTCATTCATGTATTAGAAGGTGGATTTATGTCCTGATTCATCTGTTTTTTACAGACTGAGCACCCTTTATTTTTATAAAGTAAATTAGTTCATTTCTGGGATTTTCAAAATATCTGTATTATCAAGAGAAAACTTTAAAGCCTTTTTAGTTTATGGGCATGAATTTTACTACAAGGTAAAATCATGCCGCTCTCGGCTGGGTGTGGTGGCTCACTCTTGTAATCCCAGCACTTTGGGAGGGTGAGGCTGGAGGATTGCTTGAGGCCAGGAGTTCCAGACCAGCCGAAGCTGCATGAATCTTGGAAACTTCCTAATTCACCTATAATATTTGGCAACTGCTTGTAGTTTCTTGCATGTGCCAAGCTACATCTTATCTAATTATGTTTGCTCATTACGTGTTCTAGGCTTTGAAATCTTTCATCTGTTGCACAGACTGCAGATGCAGTCTTTACAAAAATAAACAAAAAACTTAGCCAGGCATGATGGTTCATGCTTGTAGTCTCACTAATTGGGAGGCTGAGGCAGAAGGATCACTTGAGCCCACTAGTTTGAGGCTGCAGTGAGCCACGATTGCACTACTGCACTGTGGACTAGATGACAAATTGGGAACCTAACTCAACAAAATAAACAAAATCCTGTTGCTTTTGAGTGTGAGAATTAGTGACAATGATCATTATAGGGATAAACTCTTTGAGAGAGAGAGAGAGCATACCACCTCATACAATATCAGCGTAGTATTAGAGATTAAGCCTCAAATATAAAAGTGGAAGTTGTCATTGCAGGGGTGGGCTCTCAAGAGTTGCTTCAAATATAGCTATTCCAGATGGTAAATGCCAAGAAGGGGATAAGTTTGGATCCATTTGCTTAAAATTTAGATTGCGTTTTTCCCTTTAATTTAGTGGAAAGTGAAGTCATGTTTTAAGAAACAGTAGCAGGAATGTGAGTTGTGATAGTATTCACAGTGTAGATTTTAAGTAAGAAAGAATCCCGAGGGCCACAGTAATACTGAAAAGGAAGGAAAGAAAAATATTTGCACCAGTGTGCCTTTTTTATAGCTATACAGATGTATTCACATACATATATATATACACACACACACGCATGTATACATATATGAATCATATCGGTTTATACAGTGTGCATTTTAGGGTACTTGTACCACATCATAATTTCAAAATAACCCACAATATAAGTAGAATAGGTAAGGCACAAGGTTTTAAGAGACATATCTGAGTCCACCAGGTTTTCAGTGTCAGAGGTGCTAAAAATTGATTATCGAATTCTGATCATAAAAAAATGACAAGAAATAATAATCAATAAAAATTACCCATTCGGCTTGTAAAAAGATACTTATTAATTTTTAATTTCATATAAATTTGTTCCCCTGCATAAAGTTACTTTAATATAAAGAGGTATCTTGGATATTTAATTCAATATACTCATAAAGCAGTATTTATACGCTTCATAAATATTGTTATTCCATTATACGTGGGTCACAATACTAATAGAATAATTGTATACTCTGAAAACAGTTGTCAGTCTAGTGTGCTGGAAGTGGTTTGCTTTTTCTTCATGTGTACGGTTGTGATCATTTACATTTACAATATTTATTTCATGTTTAATTTGCAAATAGGTTCCACCCAGTGGAGTTCCTGTAGGTACTAGGTGTTAAGCTTGTGATTGTTCTTTTGTTAATTGCTGTGGTTTATTTCCTTGTTCTTTTTCCTCTTTACTAAAACATGTAGCTTTAATTCATTATCATTTATAAGGATATTTTCAAATACTTTATATAAATGTAAATATACTTTATTGGTTTAAAATTTAAAAATATTTTAAAGTTAAAAAAGGTAAAAATATTTATATAATCTATTGGTTATAATACTATGAAATTTTGTAAAATCCAAATTTAATTGTCAACTGAGACAAAGACTGCTTAATTACTAATGTTTTCTCAGTCCACAACAAATATTGATGATTTATCATGGCATTCTTTCTAAAACATTGTAAGTTTGAAATTGAATTTTTTTGAACTAAATACTCAGGCAACTACTATCAAGTAATTAAAACTGGCTGAGGAGATACTTTTTTGGGCCATTTTTCTCTTATACTTTGTCATCTATATGTATGCTTATATATATGCATGCATATATATGTGCACATGTCTATACATGGCTGTGTTGTATGTGACTATATATGTGCATGCATATAGTCTTGTGTGTTTGTGATGTATTTATTCCCATTAGAAACCCCAAGATGGTGTTTAAACAGTAGACTCTCATATTTGAACATAGTTTTATATGATAGAATGTTTGTTTATTTTGCATTCATATGTTTGTTTACCCGTGTGTTTGCATATGCATTTACTTTTGCATTTTTTTCTGCTTTTATGTGTGCATGTCAGAGCTTATTTTATCCTCTCAAAAAATAAGATGCAGATAAGTGAATTAATATATCATACTTTTGGTATATACTGCATGGATATTTTAGGGTAAAATAAATATTACCTAATATCAGGGGAAATTAATATTTTTTAATCAACTCTCTGTGTACCTATTGATTTAACACTGAAATCCATTTAAAATAAACTTATAGACACAACAGCTACCTAAATTCTACTACCTCTATTGGAATATTAAGCCAGAGTATTATTTGTCCATATACATCCCAGTCTATGAAACTTATAAGCTATTAACTCTAACATGATTAAAAGAGTTGCAAATATACAGTGTTGACTCAACTTACTCTTTAGGAATTGCAAAATTCAAATATATTTGTGAAATTCAAACTGTTATCAGAATGCAGCTTGACAAGAAGGAATTTAAGTTTATAAAGAGATTTAGAGATGGATATTTGCACATTGTTTCTTACCAAGAATTTGATATGCCTTTCTTGTGAAGAGTAGCAAAGCCTTTAACTGTAAATAATGTCAATCAAAACAATAGGTTAGTTGGTACTGATATGCATCTATTAACATCTTATGTTGATATTACATAAAATTTTCATAAAACTCAAAATGATATGCTGTAATATTTGCAACATAAATATATACACAACATTTGAAACTTGCACTGTCTTTAAAAATGAATCTAAATTATTAAACATTGAGTGACAAACTGTAGAACATTTCCAAATCTGGCTTCCTAAATTTTTGTACTTAATACGAGGATATTTACCAATAGCATTTATGTTTAAGATTATTATTTTAAATATACATAAATGTAAATGTTATATTTTGATCAGAGATTAACTATACAAAACATATTAGAATGAACTATAATATGCCATGTATAGTGCTAGCTTTCTGTGATACATTATCTTCTTCATAAAAAACAAATACACTGTCGTTCTGGAAAATATTATCTTTCTCTAGCTAGTTATTATAAAACCACTCAAGAAACTGAGACAGTTAAATTAACAAAAGGTCTTTAATGTTTCTGGTTATCCAATATGAGGACGTCTGTTTATAGAGTATTGATGTGTGCATTATCTCCAAGTGAAAAGCATTTGGCAAACAAAACTTTGAGGTTTTCTTGAAAGTGGTAAAATGTAAGTGCTGTTTGTGACACAAACATATTATACTACAGTCACATTTGAACGCGCTAGTTCACAACTCAATACTTATTGAAATATTGCATTATCAAAATACTTGACACAAAAATGCTTAAAAAGATGTGGTGAAGATATGAATTAATATACCTAACAAATTTATTAACAGAGGTTACAGTTGAAAGGAAGAAAATAAACTGAGAGAGAATTAAGATATAAAGGAAGTAGAGAATGATGGAAAGATTTGATCAAAAGGAACAAAGTAAATATTTGGTAAACAAGGTGGATAGCAAAACTTCCACAGTTTGCATTTAGGGTTTAAAGGTCCAAATAAATTAAGGCATGCCAGATGGCACCATTAGTGGTACATTTAGAGAAGTGTATATGTACTTAAAAGCCCAGTGATTAGGTAAATCCAGGATAAACACAAAACAAATGGCAGATATTCATACTTAGAGTTTCTTTGACTGAAACTGCATGTTAACTAAAACTTTTTATCAACTCTGAAGTAATAATTGAATTTAATCACAATTCACTCTAAAGTGTAAAATAAGAATCCTTAAAATATCATTCAAAATTGACATCTGCATTTTCTAATTGACTTCTATAAATAAATTATTTATTTGTAAAATTAACTAACATGTTAGATTTTTAGAATATCCCACTTTCTAGCTATACTGAGTAATTGGATTCATGACACTGAAATGGAAACAACTAACGTACCTGTTTGAAAACATCAGAGTGTGGGCCGGTGGCTCACGCCTGTAATCCCAACACTTTGGGAGTCCAAGGCGAGTTGATCACGAGGTCAGGAGATCGAGACCATCCCAGCTAATACGGTGAAACCTCGTCTCCACTAAACACACACACACACACGCACACACACACACACACACACACACACACACACACACACATATACACAGCCGGGCGTGGTGGCGGGCGCCTGTAGTCCCAGCTACTCGGAAGGCTGAGGCAGGAGAATGGCGTAAACCCGAGAGGCGGAGCTTGCAGTGAGCTGAGATCGCGCTACTGCACTCCAGCTTGGGTGACAGAGCGAGACTCCGTCTCAAAAAAAAAAAGAAAAAAGAAAAAAGAAAATATCAGAGTGTGAAACCTCTTGAACTTTTTCTCAATATTTTTGATCATTTTATAATAAATACACCAATTGGAATTATCATCTATAGTATTAATTTCTTATTGTTCCAGGGTAAATATAGCACAGTAACGTTAAGTCAAAATCCTGAACATAGAAGCAACTACAGAATGAGATATTATGAATACATAACTTATTTTAGGTTCAAATGAAATCATTTATTTCAAAGTTATTTGAAATCAACACATATTGAAATATTTAAAAGATGGGCAGATTCAAGCATATTGTGGATCAAATCATGTTCACATTTTATTATAGTAGTGTGCATTACAACTTTTTTATTTTACATAGAAATTTTGAAATTATGAGTTCTATTATTTTCAAATTAAACACATTTAAAAATTTTCTACTGTTTGTTTTTCCCTCAGCCCTTGACACCAGACTTAAAAAAGTGTTTTATGATATTAAATCCATTTCATAACATGCTATGCATACTTTAAAAGATAGTATAATCTAGAACAATACCTTAACTCCCTGTATCACTCCTTTTTCTCTTTTTCATAGCCTTTGTAATAGTCCACTCTCGGAATATTCCTCTTTTCTTTGCTCCACCTGCCTTCTTTCCTACTATGCAGATACCAGTGCTAGCCTTCTTACTTTATATTGCTGTTCTTTCTCTAAATTACAGAGTAGGTTGTCTTCTCTTTCAGGGCTGGCATTGAGATTGCAAAGGGTCTTCAATGCTAAGTTGATTATCTCTCAGACTTGAATTTTGAAATCCCTTCCTTTTTAAGTATATATCACTTTTTCTAGACTTTCCTATCAGACACATTTGCTAAATTCATGCATATTTTAAATCAAATTATCTGAAATATTTTAATTAAAGTAAACATGTTTCCATTTGGAGAATTTTACAGCATTAAAATACGAAAGAGCAAGCGTGATATTTATAGGTAATGAATAATACATAACCAATTTTATTTATATTTTGCATTATAAGTAAGAACAAGATAGTAATATGCATATATGCAGTTTATTACTACAAATCAAGTAATTGTAAAACCTAATTGCTAAAATTTTGAACTGCAATTTTCTTTTCTTGTTTTTATTTATTTCCCTAGTCCAGTGCTATTTTGGAATATATTGATAACAAATAATCAGTAAGAATATATTTAATTGGGAGTTTTTATATTCTTTCTGTTTTTCTGTAATTTTTCCTTTTTACCATATTGATTATACCTGTGTGTATTTCAGTATTTTGTATTCCACGATATAGGTCACCATCTTTTGAATAGTTTAGATCATTAATGAGTAAATATCTAGTTAAATATTTTTTATCTTTAGAAATTCTTAATATTTTTATCTGGATTTTTGCTATAAATTTCAAACATTAACTTCTAGGTGATGAACTAATAGCTACATTATTTATTCAACATTTGAAATGATGTCTTTTTTTTCAAAGATAAAAGACCCAGAGCTTCACCTTTTTCTGAATGACTACACCTCAGTCTTCACCGTCACACAGACTGGTATTACTCGCTACCTCACCTTACTTCAACCAGTGGACAGGGAAGAACAGCAAACTTACACCTTTTCGGTAAAGAGCTTTTGTATAAATATATATATATATGTATGTATGAATATATGTATGTGTGTTTGGATGGATCTGAAAGAGATGAATGGTTAAAACTGAAAAGGTCATCGACTTGGGGGAAAAATACATTATTTTCAATACCAGAGAGAAGATCAATGAAAAATTATTTACATGTATCGCTCTTTGTTTGTAATTTGTGTAGCTATATTAACATTCTTCCTCATAGAAAAAAAAAGAACTTTTCAAAATAAAAAAAGAAAGTGCGAATTTCAGTCTTTACCAAAGTCATAATTGTCTTAAATTGAGATACAAATAATTATTGCCTAACCTTTTTTGTTGTTGTTCTTGCATTTTTTATTTAGTCATAAGGTTGAGCCAGTGATTCTCAAGAGGGAATAAATTTTCCCTCCAGTGAACATTTAGCAACATCTGGAGGCATTTTTGTTTGTCACAATTGTGAAGGGGTACTATAGGCATTTAGTAGGTAGACATAAAGGATGCTGCTAATTGTAATACAGAGAACAACCCCCCACAAAAAAGAGTTATCTGTCCCAAGGTGTCAATAGCACTAAGGTAAATAAATCATGGGTTAGGCTAATCAAGGGGGAAAAAAGTAAAAGTTACTAAAGTTGTGATTGTAAATATCATGAGATAGGGAAATACACACGTAAACATACATACACATGCACATAAACACGTAAATAACAAGTATAGTAGGGTTGACAGTTAAATAAAGATAAAATGTAACTTCTAAGTATATTCCAATTTTTGAATCAGACACAGGAGAAAGATGAGCTAAGAGAAAGCACAAATTAAGATATATAGAAATTATTCCTGGAGAAGCCTACACAGAAACAGATGAGAACTTCCAGGAAAGTTTATGTGATGGTTAAAAGTTAGATACAAAGTGGATTTAGACAAAGATGGTGGTGCTGTAGCACTGATTTGGCAGGCATTGTTAAAATGTTGATAATGCATAAAATATCACAATTAAATGATGCCATTTAGTCCTTTGAAAATTGCCACTGGGTAAATTACTGTGATACAGTGTGCATCTAGGGAGTCTACCTTCCTGATGGTATAAACATATTGACTGTAAAAGGACTATTGTATGCAAAATATGTAAATGCAAATAATATTTTCCAATTAAGTTTTTAAGGATTAAATTGTAGCTAACCCTAAGAGTCAGCAATGTTACTGACCCACTTTAAATGATATTTTGCATATCTGATTATTTAAAATATGCCGGGAGTTGAATACCTTAAAACAAAATCTTCAATACTTGCTTCTTATCATATTAGAACACTTTTAGTATGTGTAATGTTATATCTTTATTACCTCCTTTTATCAACAAAATATTTTTGCACCCTTTCAAATTGTAAGATTACCTGTAAGAAACGTGTTAAACTGTAAGAGCAAACTCTGTACTACTTATATTTGCAGAACATCTCTATTAAGTGTGTTTTTCTACTCCCAAAGATAACAGCATTTGATGGTGTGCAAGAAAGTGAGCCAGTCATCGTCAATATTCAAGTGATGGATGCAAATGATAACACACCAACCTTCCCTGAAATATCCTATGATGTGTATGTTTATACAGATATGAGACCTGGGGACAGTGTCATACAGGTAACTAGTCATATGAGTGTACACTCAAAGTTGCTATGTACATGGGCATTATATAATGTGTTCATTAAGAAATTACTTAAGAAACAAAAATTGATTTCACATTTATTGTAGAGCATAATTAGTTTAAATAGCTTTAAATTTCTGTTACTTTTCAAATAAAAGCATATCTGGCAGGGCATGGTGGCTCACGCCTATAATCCCAGCACTTTGGGAGGCTTAGGTGGGTGGATCACAAGGTCAAGAGATCCAGACCATCCTGACTAACACGGTGAAACCCTGTCTCTACTAAAAATACAAAAAAAAAATTAGCTGGGTGTGGTGGCAGGCACCTGTAGTCCCAGCTACTTGGGAGGCTGAGGCAGGAGAATGGCGTGAACCTGGGATGCGGAGCTTGCAGTGAGCTGAGATTGCGCCATTACACTCCCCCCCCCCGGCCATCTCAAAAACAAACAAACAAACAAACAAAAAACAACAACAACAACAAAAACACAGCATAAAAGCAAACACACACCCACACACACATAAATAAAAGAATATCTATATGGACTCTAAAGGAGATTTAACTGGTTATTAGAGGTAAACATAGCTATTTGTTGGTAGTAAGTGAATAAATGCTTGGTTGTTACTTTCAAAAAAAAATAGCTATTTGACCAGTTTATATTTTATTAATATACTGAATACATTAAATCTTCAAATTACTTTTCACTACTGTAGAAATTGATTAAATTTCACTTGGAGATAGCTACAAAAAACTGCCGCCGGGCGCTGTGGTTCAAGCCTGTAATCCCAGCACTTTGGGAGGCCAAGACGGGCGGATCACAAGGTCAGGAGATCGAGACCATCCTGGCTAACACGGTGAAACCCCGTCTCTACTAAAAAAATACAAAAACTAGCCGGGCGAGGTGGCGGGCGCCTGTAGTCCCAGCTACTCGGGAGGGAGGCTGAGGCAGGAGAAAGGCGTAAACCCGGGAGGCGGAGCTTGCAGTGAGCTGAGATCCGGCCACTGCACTCCAGCCTGTGCGACAGAGCAAGACTCTGTCTCCAAAAAAAAAAAAAAAAAAGAAAACAAAAACTGCCTTAGTAAATTGGTGCATAATCCCACTAGATATTGGTTACCTAGATAAAATGTAATCATTACAGCAGAGAAAATTTAAATTAGATAGTAAATGGTACCTTTGAAAACATGTAAGTCAGGCAACATCTTTATTCCTGATTTATCTTATTTTTACCATTATCTGTGCTTATTACATTTAAATAAGTTATTTCAAACACACACACACACACACACACACACACACACTTTTTTTCCTCTAGATCTTTTCCTCTCCCATCAAGGTCATATCCCTTATAATATATGAAATTAACTTATTTTCTTCTTTCCCTCACTCCAAATTGAAAACTCAGGAGTTTAGTAACTTTGGCTGCCTTGTTTGGCACTGTAATGCCAGCACATGGCAGACATATTAGCCATGCAGTAAATATTTATTCCAGGGATAAAACATCGCTAACTTTGCATTAATTGCTAATTAAAATTAGAAATCATTCAGTGCGGCCGGGCGTGGTGGCACACACCTGTAATCCTAGCACTTTGGGAGGTCGAGGCGGTCAGATTTCCTGAGCTCATGAGCTCGAGACCAGTTTGAGCAATATGGTGAAACCTCGCCTCTACTAAAATAAAAATTTTTAAAAATTAGCCAGACATGGCGACATGCGCCTGTAATCCCAGCTACTCTGGAGGCTGAGGCAGGAGAATTGCTTGAACCCGGGAGGTGGAAGTTGCAGTGAGTCAAGATGGTGCCACTGCACTCCAGCCTGGGGACAGAGCAAGACTTCGTCTCAAAACAAAACAAAACAAAACAAAAACAAACAAACGCACACAAAAATGTGAAAGAAAAAAGAAATCATTCAATGTGACTTTTTTGTTTGTGAATTAAGATATGCTTTCTTGAGTTCTATAGAAGGGGTGACATGATAGCCTGGGGACTGGGAATTCAACAGAACGTTTATTCCATTTGTAAATAGTGTCTGCTGTATATTTAGTAAAGAGAGAAAAAACGTTTCAAACTGCTACAGTAAATTTTTTAATATATTGGTATGGTACTTGTCACATTAATGAAATGAATGTGTTAAAACATTAGATTTCAGGGCAGAACTCTAACTAGTTTATTTCTGTATTTGTGGCATCTGTATCTATAGTTCATGGTATATAGTAGATGTTTAATACAGTAGCTGCTGATGGCACAAAAGATACTGGGGACTACTACGGAGGGAGAGAGGGAGAAGGGACAATTGAAAAATTAACTATTGTGTACTATGTTCAGTGTCTGGGTGACAGAATCAATCATACCCCAAACCTCAATATCATGCAATATACCCAGGTAATAAACTTCCATATGTACCCCCTGAATCTGAAATAAAAGTTAAAATTATAAAATAAAATAAGTATAGTGTAACTACCTAATAAATGCTTATCTGAGGATGAAAGAAAGGAAGACCCTTAGACAAGTAATTATGAATGAATAAAGATATGAAAGAATGAGAAGCTGTAGATACATGGCTATTAGCTCCAGTCAATTGATGGACCATGAGAGCTGCATTTTTCTGTGCTAAAGCACCTTTTCACAGGTAGAAAAATAATATTTTACATAAATAAAAGAATGACAATTATTGTCATGTCCTTATTTAATTAGACCTGATTTTCATCTCTATGTCATAATTGGAAATGACAGTAAGTTTACACAGAAAAACAGCCAGCAGGGAACTACAAAGTGTAACTAAGAAAATCATAGCAATTATATGGAGAAACTGTATCTCAAAAATGTTTGCCTTAGGGGATCAAAGGCTTATTTCTCTCATTTGAAGTCTACAAAAGTTAATTTCCCTTATGTATCTCTTTGTAAAACGAATATTTCCTTGCCTTTAAAGACTTATGTTTTACATATTTCCCTGAACTATGCAGATTGTGAAGATAGATTGGTGTTTGTGTCAGCATACCTACAATTTAAAAAATTATTTAAAAGTCAACAAATGAAGCTTTATAATTAGTATTTTAATGTTATTTCTGGTATGTGGTAGAAGGATGGTCTCACTATAAAACATACTCCAAGAACCTAGACATAAAATAGTTCTCATTGAGAGAATATATCTAAAACAAAGAAACTTGATACAAAACTCTGATCTACATGTACCCTTTAAGAGTCATGGCCTAGGTCCCTATGCTACACCTCGTCACAACCCTGTCTTTCCCCACTGACTTGACACAAGATACATCAGTTTACTTGGTGGTTAGTAAACTGATGTCAAAGACTGAAAGTGTCAGAAACAAAAGTGACAATGAGCACTTTCAAAAAAAAAGACACTCGGGTAGCAGGTTTTAATTATTGTCATTTTTAATGTAGCCATGAGACTCTTTTAGCGTGATGTGAGCACATACTCAATTTTTTAAGTACAGTATATTTTTCTTATTAAGAATTTACCCTGTCTGCAAGGAGCAAATGAGTTGGTTATAAAGTTTTACCCAGATCCATGTTATAAGTTCTCAGTTATAAATTGAGCTTCTGACTTTATATATGTCCCTTACACTTGATTTTGGCCAAAAGGACTGGAGTGATTCCCACGCACATGGGTCATGAACAACACTTAGAGGAGTGCTGCCTTAAAGCATCAACATCATCTTGCGTAACTGGAGCTGAAGTATAATCACATCATCTTCCATAACTAGAGCTGAAGTATAATCACATTATTAACACATATTTTGTTTAAGGGAAAACTACTGCATGAAATGATTTCATTTTTCATTCCATGCAGAACATTTTATGGGATGTCAATGCAATCTTATAGGTTGACACTAATAAATACCATGCTCCATAAATACCACTCCACACATTGCTAGTTTTCTTGAAAAGACAATTATTCCCCATAAAAGATACAGATTTTACTATTTTGAAGATGTAGATTTAAATACTAGTAGCTAGCTATCCAATTAATGCTCCATAAACACTATTCGTAAACATCTGCAATTCTCTTAAACTGTGATTCTCAATGACAATTGAATATTAGCATTCTGCCTGAGGAACTTTTAAAATATTGATGCCAGCACTTCATTCTAAGATGTTTGTATTTAAATGATCTGACCACCCATAACAGAGTCACTTAGACAGATTTTATTTAAGAAAATGAAACAGTTCTAATATGCAGCCAATTTTGAGAATTACAGTTTTAAACAACAACAATATTTTAAAAGTACTACTGAATAATTGTACTTCTTAAGTCATTAAGATAGAATCCCACATAGAGTTGAGTCCTCTGATCCTCACTCCACCTCTTTTCATTGTTCTTTTGTCTTTTAGTTCTCCTTCCCTTCTTCTGTGATGCTTCCTACTCCCATTTCCTATCTTAGACTCTACTCCTTCCAATTTCTGTGCTCCACCAATTATTCCATTTCTTTGACTGCAATAATCTTTCTCCACTGACTAATTCCTTCCCTTTGCCCAATTAACATTCTTAACATCCCCAGGTACTGGTCTAATCCCCACTCCCAGATAAAATTCTTCGTGCTTTTATCCCCCTCTGATTATTTTCCTTATCAACAAAAATGTATCAATCTCAGTGCCTGCATACATATATTGATCTATATCTATCTCTATATGTATATTTGTATTTATCTATCTTATATATAATATAACCTGAGTTTAACTCACATCACACCACTAAAATCATGTAAAATTATATATCCCATCAGTCTGTTTCTACATGTCAAACTCAAAAGTCCTTAATCTTGGTAAAACTCTCAACTATACCCTTTTATGAATAACTTCCCTAGTTCCTATCCTACTTCTCTGTTGGCTGAGAGATGTTACTGACCCCTTGTTCAATTATCACTCTTTAAAAATTAACGTTCTTCAAATACCTAGATATACTTCTTTTCTTTTTCATCTATTCTCAAGTTTTCAATCATCACCTCTATGTATACTTGTCTGCCAAAGTTAAATGCCCTGTGA